TAATATTCTGTGAGCAGCATTATGCAAAGTGCTATGCTCCAGTATTTCTGTGCAACACCATTTATTTGAAGAAATAATTTCATAGCAGATTTTAAAACATTCTCTTACTAGGGTAAATGGTTCAAGTATATTAATAATGTTGCTTTATTGAATGCTTACTTGCTTTCAATGCCAAAGTTAAGGCTCTGCATGCCAAAGAATGAATGTACTTGGTTTAATTTGTAAGCCTAGATGGCATTATAGTAATATTGCACTGATTAGAATTAATCAAGAACACCAGAACAAATGTATGCTAAGTCTGAATTCTAAAACTTTAAAGTAATTATATTGCTTTTAAATCTGTCTAATATTTACTTGCTTGTCTGTAAATAGTATAATAAAATCAGTATCTCAAAACCAGATAATATAGTTGAGTCATTCAGACTGTTATCAAACATAAGTCACTGAAGAAGCAATTCAATCCATAGAGAAGTTTTCTAATTAGCATACTAATTATTTGCAAATAAAAGGTGATTCCAAAGTACTCCAAGGAACTTGAAGACATTGTAGTTTGTCTTCTCATTCTATATCTCCTATGAAATATTTTTACATTATTAATTTCCAGTGATCTAGTGGAAAAGATTTTGCTAATCAAAGGAAAACTTCAGCCCAGCTTCTGCCATTAATTATCACATATTCTAAATTGGTAGACCCTGAATTAATGAGGCCCAGGCTTCTTCTAACTGGCATGCATTAAAATAAAAGCTGGACTTGATTATGTACTCTTGTGAAGATTGAAGTATATATGCATATTGGCTGCCAGACAAATAAATTTTCAAAGTATGTAATTATCAATGTTATGTGGGCTTTGCCCCACTAACCGTAAACATCTTAATTACCTTCTACACATGACTAAGAAAAGGCTTCTGCGAAGATTCAAACTATTGCCTATAAGAAATAGAAATCCACTCCCCCCCAAAAAAAATAACAGATTCTAGCAAAAAGAAAATAAAAAGTAGAGACTTGGTCTATTAAGTAATCTTTTAACTTCATTGCTAAACTGTCATTGGGCTGTAATTAGGCAGGTCAAGTTTTATTTTTATAGAGTTTTTGATATCTCTAACTCATTTGCTGTTAATGCCATGAGGGGATGGGGGCAAAAAGATACAATATCCACACTGTTTTGTATTCTTTCCATTCCCACTGTCTAATCTTCTGGTTCTTTCCTTCTTGAATAACCATACCTGCTATTTTAAAATTCATTGTCTATGTAGGCCATCACTTTCTTGTCATTTTAGTTTACTTTCCGAGACCTACAGAACGAGCCAGCACATCCGATTACTACTTGCCATGTGGTTTTCTTGTATTTTTTTTTTTTTTCGGTATGTGGGCCTCTCACTGTTGTGGCCTCTCCCGTTGCAGAGCACAGGCTCCGGATGCGCAGGCTCAGCGGCCATGGCTCACGGGCCCAGCCGCTCCGTGGCATGTGGGATCTTCCCGGACCGGGGCACGAACCCGTGTCCCCTGTATCGGCAGGCGGACTCTCAACCACTGTGCCACCAGGGAAGCGGTTTTCTTGTATTTTGACTGCTCAGGAGTCAGCGACTTTCCCACATTTCTCAAAGTTGTGCTATACCAGGCCCTTTCCTTCCTTTCCTTGAACTTACAGCCATTTATCACCTTAAGAATCCAGTTTTTTGCATCTAAGGTCATGTTTGGAATATGGGGTTTTTTTTTGCATTTCATATTTTTAGATTAAAATCTAAAATCTGTATATCATTAATTTCAACTATATCAAATTCTTATCTGATATAATATCAGCATGTTAAATTACAAGAAGACATGTATGTCCAGTCCCATTTTTGCAAGGACACTATTGCTACATTGAAGCTAGGTCTGATTTTTTTTTTCACCTGAATAAAGTAAAGATGATTTTCAAAACTTTAACAAAATGGAAAGGGGAAAAAAACACATAGATTGTATGAATGAGTCTGTCCTCCAGTGACCTTTCCTTTTTGCCCGTATTCTTCTTGAGGCAGGCAGTGGGCATAAAGCTTCTGCCTTCTCTGTTTCTATACTGTTACTGTGAAATACAGAATCGAAGTCTACACAAAGGTAAACAATTGGCAAATGGACTAATTCTGATTTTTAAAGTGCTTCTATTCTTTAATTTTAAGAGAATTTGACTTGCTTGGAGATGCCTCTTGAAACATAGAAAAGTATTTAAAGCCTAAGAGGTAACCAAGCTATCTTTTGCAGACTTTTGCAAGCTGCTGTAGATGGATTCTACACTTGCAATGCAAATAATAGTAACAATAGTAGTAATAATAACAGCTAATACTTATTAATACCTTACTGAGTGCTAAGCACTGTTTTAAGTGCATGCAATGACTCATTTAATCCATATATAACACCCTATGAGGTAGTTACTGTAATTACCCCCATTTACAGAAGAAGAAACTAAGGTACAGTGAAATCAAGCATTTTCCCCAATTCACAGCAATTTAAACTCAGGCAATCTGTCTCCAACACTGATAATCTTAAGCACGATGCAATCCTGACTATTAAGAAGTATTATATGAGAATTGCTAAGTTATATATTCAACAGTGTAGAGTTTGTTGGAGTTTTTTTTAACTACAGAATTTCACAGAGAAATCTATCCCTTTAACACCAAATATGAGTGGATCATGGTAATTTTAGTAATTTTGCATATTGAGTTTTAACAAGGATACACCCTACCAAGTTGGTACAAAAAGAGCTGGGTTACAGCAAAACTACATGTTCTACCATACTTGGAAACTCTGCTTAAATTTGTACCACTTTAAAAGCTTATTACCAGCCAAGCAGAAAAAAATATGAAATACTTGACATTTTGGTATCTGCGATATTAAAAAGAACTAGTATTTAATAGTCAAGTGGCAACAGCTTGTAGAGTTTGCATACAACATCCACAGGGATCGATTTTTCTTTAAAATGGCCTTTAGGAGTCTGCCTTTTAAACAGCTGACACCTCCATTCTCTGCATCCCTCTTTCCTGCCAGCACTGTGGGCCACACACTGAGTGCAGCAGCAGATGTGTAATTCTTCACTGCAGGATTTGTCTACACAAATAATGGAGAGTGTGGGAAATCAAGAAAAATGTAATTTCCACTGAATCAACTTCAGTGTAATATCTACTAGATATTCATTTCTAGAAATGAATAGATGTCTTTAGAGGGCTTTTCTCCATATGGTCTCTCAGTCCCCTTTATGTACCATCCACAAGAAGAGAGAAGAACCGTCATTACCTAATTGATCATCAGTCATTCCACACCTGTACCAAGGCCACATAATGACAAATATAGCTACCTGGCATTTTTCCAGCATGACTAATTGTCACAGTACTAATTCACTCACCTGTGGAAGTTTCAACTTCCCCAGCCTGCTGTCAAGAAGATGCATAATAATGGAATAAAGGTTTAAAAATGCTGAACACTGTGAAATATTACACATATTCCAACAGAAAACTTCCACTTAAACATGTGTTGGGTGGCTATAATTATTAATTGCTGAGGTTAAAAAAAAAACCAAACTGGTCATATATACATTTACCAGGTAGAAAAATAGGACAAAAGGGAACAAATCTTTTCTGACATAGAGGGGAAAAAAATACTGATCAGATTACCTACAACCTGTTTCTTTATCTGCACTTATTTATTAACTGTACCAGCTTAATTACTACTCTGTTCTACATTACAAAGCCCTTCACTTTTTTATTAATATTATTTAAGAAAATAGGTTTTCTATATCAAATAGTAAGATGAAGGAGTAATCTATTGGATTTTTTTTCAAGAAACATGGGAAAGTTTAGGAAGGAGATATAGGCATGTATTACTTAATTTACATAAGATATTAAACCAAATTGTGACATCTTTGCCAAGCACTCTGGCCCAAGGATTTGTTTCAAATGCTAGGTTGTGTTTTTGAAAATTAGTATTTGTCATGGAAAATTATTACCGCGATTATAATAGCTGACTTTTCTGAAGATCTTGCCATCGATTGCCCTCACTGTGGTATTGAGGTATATCTGATGTACCTGTGAAAATTACATAGAAACTGTTGGACCAATTTTAATATATATACTTAGTTGCCTATGATACAAGTAAAATTTAGAGAGAAAAGCCCACCAGGATTTCCTAAAGAAATTTGAATAGAATTGTTCATTTTATTCTTTATTCTGTTAAATACAAATTCCATAGGTTGTTCATTAACCCATCCTGTAGTGTTAATTGGCTTGTATGAGGAAAAAAGTTTCCTGGTCAAGTTTGGGAAATACTGGACTAAATGCAGGCTTATCATCATTGCTACAAAATTTCACTTCAGAAACATCAATATGTATAAAAAAATTTTTTTAAGACAAAAATCTTCAAAAAAAACAACAAAAAAAGAAACCTCAATATGCTAATGAGCATCCTGAAGGGAAGGCATTAGGTCTTTTCCAAGCTTATCTGACCCAGGCTGTTCCATCACAACACATCTCTGAAGCCACGAGTCTGCAGAACAGGCTTCTGCCTCCACATCACAGGTGCTCGATACACTGTAGCAAAATTTCAACATTATCCACTTTCAACTGAATCAAAACTGTCTGTGATATTCTTTCATGAGGATAAATATGCAAATAGAATCAGAAACACAAACTCATTTCTTCTAACCAGATCTCAACCCATATACTCAGAGGTAAAAGAGTAGTGAAATAATCCACTCTGGCATGTTGACCTACAGCAAGGCTATTACTTAAAACAGGGTTTTTAAGTGATAGAAAAGGAGAGAGAAAAACAGCAGCTTCCTACTCGGAACACACCTTGCATTTAGCATATCTGAAAGACTGTTTTCCTCATTTCAAAACTGATAGACAATTTATTTTTTGTTGTTTTGCTATTCAAATTTATGTCCTCTTTTTTTCCCAGAGCTTATTTGCTCTAACGCTGAATTTTAAGGACCTCTAAAAATGCTTAATATGTTATTATTCTTTCCAGATATCCTCTGAGAGCCAAGCCAAGAACATTAAGGAAGAGAGGAGGAATGAGGCTGGATACAGTGCAGTGAAAAAAGACACTTCAAGGAGAAGGGCACCCACTACTCAAAGACTGGACTGTGTCATCAAAATGAGAACTTACCGATACTTCTTGCTTCTCTTTTGGGTTGGCCAGCCCTACCCAACTTTCTCAACTCCATTATCTAAGAGGACTAGTGGTTTCCCGGCAAAGAAAAGGACCCTGGAGCCCTCTGGAAACAGCAAAAATGAGCTGAACCGTTCGAAAAGGAGCTGGATGTGGAATCAGTTCTTTCTGCTGGAGGAATACACAGGATCCGATTATCAGTATGTGGGCAAGGTAGGATTCCACTGGGCTCTTTGACATTCTGGTTTTAAAAGCTTGAAGAAGTTACTTCTCATAAATAGATGGGGAAGATGTGAAATATTCCCCCAGTACAGTAAGAATTGTTGCTTATCTGGTAAGACTTTTTTTTTTTCACTTGAGTAGTTTCAGGAAGACTGTAGCGAGAAGCTGAGAAATGTTAGCACTGCAACAAAGAAAGAGAAATGCTTTCGTTGAAAACGAAACACCTACAACCAGCCGCATAGGATTATCATAAATCCTTGAATTTTTACTTTAGCTTGAAAAATGTGGTCCAGCTATTCTATAAAGTAGTATGTATTAAAAGTAGGAATAGAGTGATTAAGCTGTAAGGAAAAGAAGTTTCCTTTTTCTCATTGTGAAAGGAAACATTCTGAGCTTTAGTCCTTTGGCCACGTTCAAATTAACTATTTTTTAACTCTGCTACCTACAGTGCCATCCATTCTCTGACCAAATGGAGCCCTTTGTCCTCAAAACCCACCACTGCCTTAGATTTAGTTGTTACTGCTGCTGCTGTTTTGTCTTATCTCCCATAATTGGCAAGAGCCAGGCATTTCAAAACTTATGATTTAATTGTGGCAAGGTTCACAAAAGAGAAAAAATGATTATGTAAAGGTGCTATTTCCAAATATCATCTGACCATTTTATTGACTCCAGAAAGTAAAATGAGGACGTATCGCTTATTACAGCCCTTCCAGATTACTGGAGCTGAGTCAGGGAAACAGCTTAGTTATACTGTCATCATGAGTTTTCACTGAAATTTTATCAACAGCTACATTCCCGTTGCAGAATATCTGCATCCCGCAAATAAGTGAAAAAAGACAGGGACACAGGTTTGTACTTCGTAGGTTCTCTGTTTCAGAACATGGTATTGATAAGAAAAATAATTGTCATACATCCTTTACGTAAACACACTGGGAACAAACATAATAGAGATGATAAAATGTCTTTATGATTACAGCTACAATTTTAGAACATCTATATTTGGATATCACTCAAAAAGCATAAATTTTACAGATTCCAGGGGCTGCATGTTCACACTTCAATCTGTTATCAAATATCCCTGAATAACCCCGTGCCAATATTCTCTTTAAGCATTTACCACAATAAATGAAGGAAAGCCATCCATGGCTTGGGCTGAGGTAACCAGGCATCGTTCCAGTGAAGTGAATTATTAATGTGGAATAAAGTAGGAGAGGAAGTATTCAGTGAAGGGGTGAACATCAACACCGATCCCCAAGGGTCTAACCTTGTATTTGCTATGAAATTCACATACTGTGTGACTGCTGAAGACAGTCCGCTTACTTGTACTTCACTCCATTTCCTCTGTGAAATTTGAATAGCACTACACTGGCAAGGCTAAAAAATTATTGTAAAAAGTAACAATAATCTTATAATCTTTAAAGCACTTTCTACAATACAAATAACATTGTTGTTATAGAAGATTAAGTTTTTTAAAGTGCTGTATTTAAATAATTGATCCCCCCTTTCTTTTCTTTTTCTTCTCAAATTGTGATGCCATTTTACATAAAAATACATGTATTTTTAAAGAAAGGCCAGGTAGGGCTTCCCTGGTGGCGCAGTGGTTGAGAGTCCACCTGCCGATGCAGGGGACACGGGTTCGTGCCCCAGTCTGGGAAGATCCCACGTGCCGCGGAGCGGCTGGGCCTGTGAGCCATGGCCACTGAGCCTGTGCGTCCGGAGCCTGTGCTCCACAACAGGAGAGGCCCACGTACCGCAAAAAAAAAAAAAAAGAAAAGAAAAGAAAGGCCAGATATTTCAAAATACTAGAAGCAACAATGGATAAAACCTCAGAAGAATCAGTTTTATGATTATAATTGTGAGAGGTAATATTGCCACGGGGAAAAATTGCGAGCTGTGGAGTCAAGCAGATCTGAGGCTGCATCGCTGTGCTGCCAATTGCCAGTCGTCTGGCCCACGGCAGGCTATTAACCTTTCCAGACTTTACTTTCTTCATCTAGAAAATGCATGGAGCAATGCCTACCTACGGCATGGAGCTGCAGTGTAAAGTGAGACAAGAACTAGTGGCTGGCACGTAGTAGGTGCAGAAAGAAGTTATTGATGAAAACTCCATTGTATACATTCTATTAAATCTGTCTGTAATGCGTGGAAGTGGGTTACTGACTTTTATATCATTGAAAAAGTAAAATGATATAATTAACGGATCTCTCAGTGGCTGGCAAATGTAGAGGACTGTGGGAAAACCCCTTCACAATCACAGCTTCAGTTTGATTCGTTGGATTTGGATATTTTATCGGCAGCAAGATAAGTTTCCCTTCCTCATCATTATCTGCCCCTGCCCCACCTCCTTGAAGTTATAACCCATAAAAAATATACACTAGAAAAAAAAAAGTGAAGGGCAATAATTGAAGTTATCGTAGGTGCCAGCATTGCTACATCAGATGTATGTAAGAGGTGTCCCTGAACTATTGATAAGGCATTTTCCTGAATCTGTCTTTGGACTATATGTTTTATCAACAGACAAAGGGATTAGACTACAATTTGTTTTTTACCACAGTTAAACGTAGACAAAAAATAAATATTTAAAAAGAAAAAAAAAGGTTCGTTTCTCATGTGGCAACAGGTTGGTCCACTTTTAAAAGATTTGGAGTAAACAGGTACCTGATTAGATTATCCGAATCCACAAGGTCAAGAAATTAGGGGGAAAAAAAAAAAAATTAGACTATAGCAGAGGTTCCAAAACTTTCTTGGTTTGCAATGCCTGTAACATCTCGATAATTTTTTCACAATGCCCTTAGGCCAAAAGAAATAATTAGGCCCAAACAACTTAATACGTATTTATGTTCTAACAAATAAGTAACTAAAATAACAATTAATAGAAAAAATAATATTTTTATTTCAATCTTAAATAACCAGTTACTTCCTAATGGAATGTGGGCAGGTATTGGACACTGCACAACTTCTCAGATTGGACACCGACCCCTGGTTTCCTTTTCCACATTGATTTTCACACGGTACTTGCTTTTTAACACGGGCACTGTGGGAAACCCATCTTAATAAATATATGACATCATCGAAAGGAATGTAGCACCACCTGCTGTTGAAACTGTGATCTACTCTGAGTTAGTAATTCGCAAGATGTCTGATAGTTCATGTTGCTGTATTTCCCTCAAATTTTTAAAATATTTCCTGGTGCTGCAGTGAGTTCCCTGCTGCACACCAGGGTGCCTTGGTGCACACTCTGGGAACCATAGGAATGTGGTTAGATTGGTATATAAAGGTGTACAAAGGCTAATAGAACCTTAAATTGTGTCATTAGCCCTACTAAATAATAGCTACTTAGAGCCTAAAACTGAAAAGGTTGATCTGTACATGTAACAGATAGAAGCATTAACTAAGGAAAAGTAATATGGTTGAGCAAATACACTTAAAGTAGAAGAAAGAAGTTTTTACATTATAAGCAGCTGTTTATATGTGTGTTCCTTGGTTCCAGTTATTTGGAGGTAAGTCAGTAGGGATGACAGTGACTTCACAATGGGGGAAAATGTGAGAATGGGTGTGGGAGCAAGAGGCTACCTGGTGTAGAAGGAGAAAAAGAAAGTCACATAAGCATCCAAGAAGCAGCAGAAGATGGAGTCTGGAGGCTGGAGTGACAATGAAGTGAATATACAAGATCATGCTTTAAAATTGAAGCACAGGGACTTCCCTGGTGGCACAGTGGTTAAGAATCCGCCTGCCTATGCAGGGGACATGGGCTCGAGCCCTGGTCCAGGAAGATCCCACATGCCGTGGAGAAGCTAAGCCCGTGCGCCACAACTACTGAGCCTGTGCTGTAGAGCCCGCAAGCCACAACTCCTGAGCCCAAGTGCCACAACTACTGAAGCCCGTGTGCCTAGAGCCCGTGCTCCGCAACAAAAGAAGCCACCGCAATGAGAAGCCCAAGCACTGCAACGAAGAGTAGCCCCCGCTCGCTGCAACTAGAGAAAGCCTGCGCGCAGCAACGAAGACCCAAAAATAGATTAATAGCCAAAAATAATTAATTAATAATAATTTAAAAATTGAAGCACAAGCAAAGGTAGCAAGACCTTCCTTCTCATACTGTCTTAATGCTCCTCAGCATTGTTCTGTGTCCAGTAAGATTAACACAGAAACATGGACATGGCACAGCTGGGGAGGGATGCACTTGTAAATACAAGTGAGGAAGTCCAGTTACAGCTGAAATATTGACACCCAAACTCTGATTTATGAGACAATTCTCAACACCTCTACATAACTGAAAAGGTGGTGGCAGGTAGAGGTATCAGAATAGAAAGAAGTGGTCTTATATTGGGTAAAAGTTTTTGAGCATAAGATATAGACGTGGATACGGATACAGATAAGGAAGATGCTATTTTCTGAAACAGGGGTCCCAACCTCTGGGCCGCACGGCCTATTAGGAACCGGGCCACACAGCAGGAGGTGAGAGGCGGGCGGGGCGGTGGGGGGGGCGGGCGCGCGGGGAGCGAAGCTTCACCTGCCGCTCCCCATAGCTCGCCTTTCCGCCTGAACCATCTACCACCCCCTCCCCCGGCCCACCGCCGTGGAAAAATTGTCTTCCGAGAGACCGGTCCCTGGTGCCAAAAAGGCTGGGGACCCATGTTCTAAAATACATAACCATTTGGGGGAACTTTTATGCTGATTTAGCATAAGCAGCATCTGTGTCTGGGAGCTTGTTAGAACTTTAGACTCTTAGGCCCCACCTGAGATCTATTGAATCAGAATCTGCTTTTCAACAAAAGCAGAATTTTAGGTGAATTTTATGCATCTTAAAATTTGAGAAGTGCTGCTTTTAACAATATGTACGTTGGCCTGGGTCTCACTTCCCCAGAGATTCTGATTTAGTTGGTCTTTAATTAAGTATTTATGATCCGAATATGTGGCGAAACTTGAGAACCATTGCCCTAGGAGAATATTATTGGCAATAATTATAATTAGATGTGGCAAGCTCAGTGATA